ATAGGCCATTATGGGGAGTATAGCTACTCCTTACCCCTCTCCCGCCAGGCTAACAGATATTTAACTAAGAGAAGTGTTATCAGCATGTTCACTGCTGGTCAGTTTTCAACTTCCTGAGTGTCTGAAGGAGATTTGATCTTCTTATTAAGTGCATTTAGAAATCATTTCCCGGTGCTATTTAAGGCCCAGCCGGCTATGTGAGGTGGGGCGATAATGGCCTTTTCGACACCTTCCTACCCCTGGGGTGCGCAGCTATCCGTGGGGATATCCGTGGGTAGACTATTCTTGTCCCCAGTGCTACTCGTTCTAAATTGGAAGAGTCGATGTTTTCATCCTGGATGGCAGAAGGATGGCCAAAAAGTTCATGATGTCCTATCATCACAAGTTTAAAACTGTGAACTCGTTGTGTTCCTTCATATTTCTAAGGAGGTTCTCTTTTCAAGAGAGGATGAATGGGCTTCATCACTTAATACAACCGTCAAGAACAATTACTGCTTTTTCTTCGTCTAGATCTAGAAATGAACAACAAAGATCCATAGGAGAGTTACAGAAGAACGTTTTGCTTGTGGACGAGACAGGTAGTAAACAAGGTGAAATGACGCTTCCAGAAGCGCGGCGCATTGCCAAAGAAAGATCGCTGGAACTTGTTTGGGTTAACAGGCAAGACACAAACGCCGTGCCCGTCTATCGAATGATGTCCAAACTTGAAATAAGCTTAAAAAACAAAGCTCGGTCCCTTAAACCACCGAAAACAAAGAAGATTGAATTAAGTGAGAAGATCGAATCTCATGATTTGGTTTTCAAGGTGAAGCACATCCAGCAGTATTTGGAAAAAGGCCATCAAGTGAAACTTTCTGTTAAAAGCAAGCGTAGGACTAACGTGGATGTCTCAGATGAGAAGTTGGACGTCATAAAGAAAGTACAACAAGAGATAGAGGGTGTTAAAGTTGAAAGGCCAGTACAGGAGAGTGCGCAGGTTGTTACTTGCGTCTTTAAACCTATTCGGAGTCCCGATGATAAGTCGAGTTCATCGAAAACATGACTGGGAAGAAATAAGTTGAAGTGCGCGTGTACATTAATTGCCACACAGCTGGTGCGTTGCTTTGGCCCATTGCATCATCATCGCTCTCGAGTAGAAAGTCTTCTTCTCAGCCTGTTTGGATATCAGGTTTTCACAATATGGGGAGATAAAATTTAATTGAATGTTCAGTAATCAAACACAATCTAAGCTCCAAAACTGTTTTAAGTCTGCAGACAATAGCCTCCTACACAGACACTCTTTGGGCCTGTCATGCAATCTTCATCTCCCATGTGGTGGGAGGAAGATTGCGTGACGATCCCAAAGAACATCTGCGTAGGAGGCTATGCAGACAATAGCTTTCATGTTGTCAGACTGCTGGTCAAGTCTACTGAGACTCAGTAATTGATCACAGATTTTCTTACTACAATTTGACTTCTGTGATCAATTACTGAACAGATGTACAGCAACATGGAATCTATCTGAAGACATGATTGATCATTGTGGTTATACATACAACTTAAGCAGTTGTGAAATTAAGGTCTGATAAAAATTCAGGCTTGAATGGGATTCAAACCAATGACCTATGCAATACCGGTGCAGTGGAGTTCGGTCGTTTTGATACAAATTCGTTTCGATACAACTCAAAAGTCAATTCGATACATATCTAAAGTCAATTCAATACAAACTGAAGTCAAATCAGTGCAACCTTAATTTACCTAAAGTAGTTTCAATTCGCTACAGAAACTTTGCACGTAAACTTTCAGCTAAATCAGAAGCATATCAGTTTGTATCAAATTGACTTCAGTTTGTAACAAATCAACTTGAGATGTGTATCGAATTGACTTCTAGTTGTATTGAAACAATTTGTATCAAAACGACTTTGTATCGAAACCACCATAAACTGGTGCAGTGTGGAGATCATAGGTAGGAATCATGTTAAAGCCTGAATTTAATGCTTTAATGCTTTAATGCTTTAATGCTTTAATGCTTTAATTTCACAACTGCTTAAGTTGTGTATATAACTGTGATGATCAATCATGTCTTTATGTTTCTCCACAGCTCAAATATCGGTATATGATCTTTCATATATTCACTTGTATGGAGTCTATCTGTTTTATATAATAAAGAGAAAAAACAAACAAAAAGAGATGTTAATGATGGATCTATGTGTCTGTTCTCTCATAACTTGCAATCATGTGTTCTTTTAACTTCTGTTAGATCATAAGGGCCATTAACATGCAAGAGTAATTTGACTTACAATATTTTGATTTTATAAACCTATTTCATGCACGTAGAGTATATTATATGACCATGCTGAGATACAAAATTTCTCTCAGTGTTGAATTTCAATCATGATATATTTTTCAACATGAGAAGAGAAATCTTGTATCTCCTAGCAACTATGTAATTTTCTTGTTATTATATAAAATTCACATACTACATAAACATACTAATAAGAACATTTTTAATGATTTTCCGAAGTTTTCCAACCACTTACTGAAGATTTGCGAAGATGTTCTAAAAGTTGTCTGATTGTCACATGAACGTTTTGGAACATTTTCGGAAAAGAAGATTTGCGAGGATAGGCGAAGATTACTAACTGTAACATCTCTGTTGTAGTGCAAATTATTAACTTTGAAAATCTTGACAAAAATGCAGAAATCTTTGATCTTTTCTTTGAATAACAATTCAGGACTTGATAAAGTTAAGCTTTCTGGCCTAGCTAGAGACATTATACATATTTTAACCAATCAGGTGAAGCTGCAGTGGGGAGAGCAGGTTTCATCACGCAGGCAATGATAATAATAAAATATATGCATGACTAATAACCAGTAAACAGTAAGTGAATGAAATGTATTGTTTCTTGTTACTTTTCATAAATGATATTGGAATCTAGTAATAATGCCAAAATATAAGCCCACCCAAAATCCCTTGTGAAGTTGTATAAACGGTGTTTTGCAGTACACATTTTCCTTGTTTTGTACTTTCTTGCTTTCCTGTTTAGGTCTCTGCTCTCTTTCCATTTTCAAAGAAGAAACATCACATTTGGTTACCGTTATTGTTTTGAGCTTGTGTTAGGACCAGAGCAAAACTAAATAGCAGCCAAATCTGAATTTTTACTGGTCCTTTTATAATTAGCTCTCTGAGGCTACAGGTTTGTGTTAAGTCATGAGATTTTTGACAAATTTTAAGAAACTGAAATATCACAAACGAAAAGAAACAGAAAAGCCAAAAGGGACCACAGAAGGGTTAAGCTGTATGGTAAACTTGAAATACACTGGCCCCACTTTTTTCAAGTTTATCTCATTTGGTATGACAGTGTAGTTTTGGTTTTAATTTCATCAAGGACAAATAGAAGCAGTATTCTCTAAGTATTGTTTATTTTGACCAATAGTAAGGTACAATATATCAAGATATTTGTTCTCACACATTATCATCTTCACAGTCTTTCTGGTTAATTTATATCTATTTACCATTAAATTAATTCAATGATTTCTTGATTAACTTATGTCAATGTTATTTAATTGTTCATAAAAATATATATTTTTTCAAATAAATGAGTTACAAATGCAAAACTAACCTGTCAACTAATACTATTCAAGCTAGAAGAATCTAACATTACATTTTTGTTAAAATAATTTGTTCGGCATCTCATCTAAATAACAATGCCTTCCACTTAATAATTTTTCTTAAAATATCACTAGAATTAATATTAAATGTGAACGTATGTCTGCTGGTAAAATACTGTAGTAAGCTATGCACTTTATCTGAGTATGAGACATTTTACTGAATATACCATCCTGGAGAAATTTAAGAAATTTATAAAGTGCACAAGAGCTTTGACAGACCTGGGAGTTTGTGACACGTGCGATCACTACCAAATAAGGTAATGAACAGGTGCGAGCAGGAGCCGACCATTTGGATGTGACAAAATAGCGAGTAGAGAGAGAGTTTTCTAGAGTTTACTGTGAGTTGTGAATCCTTACAGTGAGTTGTTGTGCGGAGAATACACAAGAATACAAAGAAGAAGCTGTGAGTTCTGTGTACCGTTTACTGTCATTTAAATCATGAAAATTGGTGGTTTAAAAAATGAAATCTATGACTTGAGAATTTTCATATGTTCTTTGCAAACATGATTAACAAAAATTGTGGTCCATAAATTGTTCATATCAATAGAGTTAACTCTATTTATATAATACTAATCCTTTATTATGTTCTACATATAAAAATAAAATATTATGACAGCTGGCATGCAAGTGACAAGCTATAATTGCGAGCCCTGTAATTTTTCCATTTCCTGGCTCTCTGCATTCTGACCTTCATCCCTTGTAAAGATGGGTGTGGTCAGCTTCTTCCAGCGCTGGGGAAATATTCAACATAAAAATTTAATTTGTCTAGCAGTGGTCAAAGACACCATAAGGGATTAATAAAGCAGTTTGAAAAACATTAATATTCAAGAGGAAAGCTA